AAAAGGGAACCCTAGTACAGTGTTGGTGGGAATGCAGACTGGTGTAGCTGTTGTGGAAAACAGTTTGGAATTTCCTCAAAAAGCTAAAAATGGAACTGACTTTTGACCCAGCAATTCCACTGCTGGGATTATACTCTAAGAATCCCAATACACCAATTCAAAATATCCTATGCACCCCAATGTTCATAGCAGCACAATTTACAATAGCCAAGTGCTGGAAGCAACCTAAGTGCCCATCAATAAATGAGTGGATCAAAAAAACTATGGTCCCTTTACACAATGGAATACTACACAGCAGAAAGAAAGAGCTACTACACTTCACAAGAGAATGGACAGAACTGGAGAACATTATATACAAAGTCAAATAAGCCAGGGGGTGAGAGATAAATACCATATGATCTCACCTGTAAGTGGAACCTAATCAACAAAAAAAGCAAGAAAAATATAACCAACAACATTGAAAGAAAAATCAAACCAACAGTAAGGAGAGGGGAGGAGGGAGGTGGGTAATGGAGAAAATAAGGGGAAGGGTCAAATCAAGGAACAGGTATAAAGGACCCATGGACAAAACCAAAGTGTGGAAGGATTGAGGGTGGAGGTGGAGGTGGGTGGGGCAGGGGAAAGTGGTGGTGGGAAAATGGAGACAAATGTATTTGAACAGTAAAAAAAAACTGATGTGGTACATTTACACAATGGAATACCACTCAGCTATAAAAAAGAAGGAACTCTTACCCTTTGCAACAGCATGGATGGATCTGGAGAATATTATGCCAAGCAAAAAAAGCCATTCAGAGAGATACAAATACCATGTTATCTCACTCATATGTGGAATCTAATGAAAAAAATATACTTACAAACAAAATAAAACTGGAGACACGTATACACAGAACAGAGTGACAGATATACACAGAGTAGGGGGACTAGAAGAGGTTAGCCAAAGAACATATATGCATGTTTGAATTGTCCATGGACACAGACAAGAATGTGCTGAAGGCAGAGGGGCTGGGTGGAGGGTAGGAAAAGGGGTGAAAATGGGGGACATTTGTAATAATATCAACAATGAAATATAAAAGAAAAGAAAACAAAATAAAAATAAATAAAAGAGAAAGCAACAGGGTTTCATGAGAGTAGCCCTTCTATCAGGAACAAACGTTAGAAGACCTAGTTCGAATTTTAGTATTCTAGCTTATTAGCTGTTTGATAATGTTCTTGTAAAAAGTTAATGCAAATATTATTTAAGATGGAACTTATTATTATTAAAATTAATAATAACAATTCATTAATGCAAACTTTTTTCACTTTACCCACCATTAATCTTGCAAAACAGAATGTCTTACTGATGAAAATTCTGAGAATTATAGTAAGCAGAGCTGGGAAGCATTAGAAAACAGACCTGAAGACATAATTCCATTGCCCTTTATAGAAAACTGGCCATATTTGGTTCTTTGTAAAACCTGAACCAACCTCTATTTCTTTCATTTGCCAAAAATTTTGGCTCAAATTCATGAACACTTGATATAATGAAAATCCTAAAATAAAAATCTAAAACTTGCAAAAATTTTTCTTATTTTTTCAATTACAGTTTACATTCTTTAAAATATTTTTCCCATTACACTTTATATTCTACATTATTTTGTACTAGTTTCAGGCATATAGCAGAGTGGCTAGACAATTATATACTTTACAAAGTGTTCCCTTCAATATTTTCAGTACCCACCTGGCACCATACATAGTTATTACAATATTATTGATTACATTTCCTATGCTGTACTTTACATACTCATAACCATTTTATAACTATTAATCTGTACCTTTCAATACCTTCACCTTTTTCACTCATTCCCCAACCCCCATCAACTCTGGCAACCGTAAGTCTGTTCTCTGTTATCTGAGTACGTTTCTATCTTGGTTGCACATTCATATTCTTTAGATTCCACATATAAGTGAAATCATATGGTATTTGTCTTTCTCTGAATAATTTCCTTGGCAGAATAAGCTCTAGGTCCATCCATGCTGCCTAAGATTTCATTGTTTTCTGGACAAATAATATTCCATGTATACATACCACAGCTTTTTTTATCACCTCATCTATTGGGAGGCACTTGGGTTGCTTCCATATCTTGGCTATTGTAAACAAAGCTTCAATGAATATAAGCATACATATTTTCTTTCAAATTAGTATTATGGGATTCTTCAGATGTATACCCAGAAGTGGAATCATTGGGTCATAAGGCAGTTCCATTTTCTAATTTTTTGAGGAACCTCCATACTCTTTCCATAGTGGCTACTCCAATCTGCATTCTTACCAACATTGCACGAATGTTCCTTTTTATCCACATGCTTGCCAACCATTGCTGTTTTTTGATTTACTGATAATAGCCACTCTAATAGATGTGAAGTAATATCTCATAGTGCTGTTAATTTGCACTTCTCTGATGATTAATGACATTGAGCATTTTTTCACATGTCTATTGGCCATCTATATGTCCTCTTTGGATAAATGTATTTTCAGGTCCTTTGCCCATTTTTTATGTGGATTGTTTGTTTTTGTGTGTGTGTGTGTGTGTTGAGTTATATGAGTTTTTACATATATTTTGGATATTATCTCCTTATTGGAACTGTTGTTTGCAATTATTTTCTCCCATTTGGTTGGTTGCCTTTTTGTTTTATTGACAGTTTATTTTGTTGTGCAAAAGAAGCCTTTTAGTTTGATATAGTCCCATTCATTTATTTTTGCTTTTATTTCCCTTGCTTTAAAAGTGAAATTCATAAAATTCTAAGACCAAGGTCCATAAGCTTAGTGCCTATATTTTCTTCTATGTAGTTTATCTTATATTTAGATCCTTTATCCATTTTGAGTTACTTTTTGTCTATGGTGACAACAGTTTAGTTTCATTCTTTTGCATGTAACTTCTCAAATTTCCCAGCACCATTTATTGAAGAGATTTCTTTTCTCCATTGTATGTTATTGGCTCCTTTGTTGAAAATTATTTGCCCATGTACACAAAGATTTAGTTCTAGGCTCTCAATTCTCTTCCATTGGTCTGTGTGTCTGCTTTTCTGCCAATGCTATACAGTTTTCATTATTGTCACTTTGTATTATGTTGTCTTTTACAATTCCATACAAATCTGATGATTTTTTGGATCTATGTCTTTAAAATCTCCTATTGGAATTTTGACGGGGATTTCATTAAATATGTATATAGCTTTGGGTAATTACGGCCATTTTAACTATGCTTATTCTTCCAATAGATGCACATAGATTATCTTCCCATTTCTATGTGTCTTCCTCAATTTCTTTTAATAATGTTTTGTACTTTTCAGTGCATAGGACCTTCACATCCTTTGTTAAGTTTATTCCTAATTATTTTATTCTTTTTGTTATAGTTGCATAAAAATTATTTTTTCTATGTCTTTCTATGAAATTTCATTGTAGTATATAGGAATGCAATGAATTTTTGTACACTGATTTGGTATCCTGCAACTTTACTGCATTTGTTTATTGTTTCAAATAGTTTTTTGGTGGAATCTTTAAGATTTCCTATATAAAGAATCACATTGTTTGCAAAAAGTGACAATTTTACTTCTTCATTCTCAATTTCAATGCCTTTTATTTATTTCTCTTGCCTGAATGTTCTGGTTAAAACCACTGTTAGTCAACATAGTACTGGAAGTCCTCTTTGAATTTCTAAAAGAGATTTTTAGTATTTGCTATTATTTCTTCATTAAATATTCAATACAATTTTCTAGTTGAGTGATCTTGGCCTGGGATTTTCTCTGTGCAGATTTTAAAGTATTTTTACTTGCCTTGTCTATTCATATTTTCCTTTCTTCCTGAATCGATTTTATTTTATCTCTCTAGGAATCTTTCCATTTCATGTATGTTGTCTAATGTGTTTATATAAAGTTATTGCTATTAATTTATAACTCTTAATATGATTAAAAATGGTACTCATTACACTTCTTTCATGATTTTTTTCCTTTTCATTATCTTTTTTTTTTTTTTTTGGTGACACTGGTTAACAAAACTATATGGGTTTCAGGCGCACAGTTCTACAGCACATCATCTGTCACTGTCTTGTGTGTTTACTACCCCAAGTCAAAACTCCATTCATCACTATTTATCCTCCCTATACACTTATATTCATTCTCTCTCTCTCTCTCTCTCTCTCTCTCTCTCTCTCTCTCGCTCTCTCCCACTTCAGTTTGTATAGCTAAAGTCTTGTTAATTTTTTCATCATTTCAAGCCAACTTTTGGTTTCATCAACTTAGTATTTTCTAGCTCAGTGTCTTCCACTGTAATATTTATTGTTTCCTTCCTTTCAGCTTGGTTAAAGTTTGTTTTTTTCTCCTTTATCTAGCTGGCCACAGTGGAAAATTAGGTCACTGATTTTAAACCTTTCTTTTCTTTAAGTATACTCATCCAAATATATAAATTTCTTTCTAATCACTTTTCAGTTGTATCCCATAAGTTTTTAGTGTATTGTTCCTTTTGTTTATTTTTTTAGTTCAAAAGCTCCTTTTTTTTTTAACCTATGAGTTATTTAAAAGGATGTTGTTCAATTGTCAAACATCTGGAGTTTTCATTTACTTTAAGGGCTGCCAGAAGTTAAGAGAATTGCACTATAGAAAAAGCACAGGCTTTTATCAGATTCTCAGATTAGCTTTAGTCAAGCTACTTTAGGATCATGAATTTCAAATTCAAATTTTTAATTAAAAATGAGATAATAATATTATCCTTATAGGCTGTTTTGAGGATTAATGGGCACTGAGCATGGCCCCTCATGTGCCATACAGTTCTAAGAGATGATGGCCATTTTATTGTCTCTCTTCCCAATGAAATTTGCAGAATATTTCCCATCAATTCAAAACTGAAAAAGAACCTCAACATTCGTGTTCAACTTTGGTAATATATTTTTTCAGTTTATAACTTCAGGAAATATAGGCTATTTGTAAGTTCAACCCATGTATCTAAAGGAAGTAAATACAAAGAACAGTACCTTCTAGCTGGAAAGCTTCTTTGACTGTCAAAGGAACCCCAAGGAAGGGCCATTTCTTTTCCAGGGTGGCATCATCTTCCTGCATCTCTGCAAGCTTTTTATCTACAGCATGAGCTTCCTTCTTAGCTTCCTCAAACCTAGAAGAAAATGAAACACTGCTACAGAGAGCTGTGGACCCTAATAAGAAAGATACCTTCTAAGAAGAACTACTACCTGTGGCTAACTGAGCTCAAATTTAAAAAAACAGAGCCCAGCAGCCATTTCTAGACAGGGGCCTCCCATGCAAACTGCACTTGGCAGTGCATATGAACTACTTTAGTGCACTGAGTTTCTTCCATCTGATCCAATACCTGAATTCTATTTCAACCACAAGGACAGAGGCTTTCACAGTACAATACAAGCTGTGCATCTACATCCCCACCAGCATCTTTACTGACTAATCAGAGAGGCTCTATTCTGACCAGTCAGGATAGAACCTTTTGGACCAACCAAACAATGAGGATTTGGAGTCTTCATATGCATGAGGGTGGACTAATCAGAGTCCAGGGGCAGGGTCTTAGGACTGTGTAAATCACCTCTCTGCAGCTCTTGAAGCACACTTTTCCTTTCCATTGAAGACTGAAGATTGTGTTTCATTGGCTATAGCTGAAACACCAAAGATGAAACACTGAATACGTCTCACCAGAATGGAACACAGCAGACCAGTGCAGAAGGAGAAGAGAGTGAGGCAAACCAGACTGGACCAGACTGGACCAGAGCACGCCAGAGTACACCAGAACAGAGCAGAGTAGAGCTGTGTAGCCCAAGAGGTGCCGAACCCCAGGGTCGCCTCAAAGCCGTGTTTTTCTCCTTCATGATTGCACTGTAATATTATCAAGCTGTTCTACAACTGTGATGTTCTCACAGCCAAACTTTATCACAACTGAGCTGTTAGCATTGAGTAACGTTTTCTTGTTCACTGTACCTCAAACTGGGAATTCCTATTGGCATTTAATTGGTGCCACCAACCACCAGTTGATAAAGCATGTTAAGTAGCCATCTACCCAAATTATTAGAAGAACAAGGATTGACATGTTAAAACATACTTGTGAAGATACTTATAAAGATAACCCTTTGAGCCAGTAATTATGCTTTTAGAAATTCATTTAAAGTACAATGGTCTAACATACTAACAAAATACAAACAGAAAGATGGTCAGTGAATCATTATTTGTAGTGGAAAAAATGTGAAAATAATCCATCACCAAATAAATTATTATGGATATCTATTATGAAAAACTGTACAGTCAATAATAGTGATGTGTTCTAAAAGTTTTGATTGTTTTTTTTGGAAATTCTTATGATGTAAACTCTTTAATTTAAAAGAGGTTACAATATTATGTTCCTAATCTCAATAATATGAAAAATATGCATACATTTGAAAACAAACCAAATGTGAACAATGAGAACCACTTTTTGGTGCTAAGGTTATGGGTAAACTATTTTAGTTATTTTTTGTCTTTTGCAAATGTTCTACAACAAGCAGGAATTCCATAAACATACAATTAAATAAGTATGATTAAAATAATACAATTTGAGTATATGTGGTAATACAGTCACTAAATTACATGATCCCAATAGAATTTCTCAGTATTTCAAACAGTAATTCTTCAAAATAAGAATTTTAAATCCTCTAAATAAACTGTCATGTGATACAAAAATTTAACTTTAATAAGGAATTATTTGGCTTACTTGAGGTAGTAATGATGTTTATTAATTGCTTCAACAAATATTCAAAGTATTCAAACAAAAATATGTATGATAAAGTCTATGCCTTTAAATCAAACAACATTTCTGGAGCTATCCTTCCCTACTACTGTGATCTCTATAAGCTCTTTTACCTTGCTGGATTTCAGTTGCCCCAGTTATAAATTTGGGATATCTACCTAGCACGGTGGTTGTAAAGATGTAGTGGGAAAATGGATGCAAATATAGCTGGGAGTCTGTACAGAAAGAAGAATTTATCACTGCCAAGTTTATTGGACAATATTCCAGAAAAGGAAAAAATGTGAGTTCTACAGCTGTGCCACAATAATAGATGACGGCGATGATGGATGGTAATAATGATTGATATGTGATAGGCACTGCTCTAAACATTGGGCAATTGCTCAATCTTAACAATCATGTGAGGTAGGTACAATTATACACAATTCACACATGAGGAAAGTTGGGATCTGGGACACTAAGAATTGAGCCCAAGATTACACATTTAATAAATGACAAAACCATGATTTTATACCAAGGTTTAGCTGGTTCTGAAGCCTAAGAACACAACTCTAGACCTAAGCTGTCCAATATAGTAGCCATAAGCCATTTTTTTCTACTGAGTATTTGAAAATTGACTAGTGAAATGTCAAAATTATAATATTTTTGACACAATTAAATAACACATATTATTAAAATTAATTGAACTTGATTCTTTTTATTTTTTAAAATTAGACTAATAGAATACTAAAAATTATATGTGTAACTCACATTTATTACTATTGCACTCTACTGGTTTACAGTAAGAATACATAAATACATATAGCAGCCCTACTATTTACTATGTGTTCTTAGGAGTGTTACTTAACCTTTCTATATTTCAGTTTCCTCCTATAATTAATGAAACTAATAATATTTACATTATTATTAATAATATTATTATATTATTATATTATATTATTATATTATTATTAATATATATAAATTATTATTAATAATATATAAATTATTATATTATTATAATATTATTATAATATTAATAATTATTATTAATAATGTAAATATTAACATTACATATTTGTAATATTACAATATTAATTGTAATATTACTATTAATATTACATATTTGTAAATACAGCAGTGCCTGGAACATTTTAAACACTGAAATATTATTACTGGTATTATTAATGCTTCTTATTAAAGAGAAAGAGAACCCTAGGCATAGCAAATAAAAAATAATGCAATGAGAACACATGGCCCATTTTCGTGAAAATCTATTAAAGAATTTCTCTATCCTATGTTTACCGAGAACTACTTGCTCACAAACAGGAGTGGGAGCTCCGTTCTTAGATCTGCACTGCAGAATGCTGCTGCTCTCAGTGTGTTGGATAGCTGATCCAAGTGAAACAAATTCATTCTCTCTCTCTCTCTCCCCCCCTCCTATTCTCCCTCTCTTTCCCTCCTCTTCCTCTCTCCCTCTCTCCCTCTCTGTCTCCCTCTTCCTCTCTCTTCTTCCCTCTCTCTCTCTCTTTCTCAATTCAAGTAAAAGAAATAGGTACCTGGGTTGTTTAAAGCTAAGACACAGTTCTGAAATTAAGAATTAATGACAGGACACTAAAAAATAAAGCCTACACATCTAATTTTGAGAGCCCCAGCACTGCCTCACATCGATCTTGGTTGTGCTTATTCAAATCTCTTTTTTTGTGGGGGGACCACAGTGGAGGATATCTCCTTCCCGTCAGTGGAGGTGTTCACAGTTTCTTCAGCCACTCTAGGCTTGGGCCCTGGGGATCCTGGGGGTGACTGAGCATGTCAAGCATGTTCCCATCACCTTGGACAGGCGCTGGTCAGTTTTGAGGTGTGACCTGGTTGATTATGACGGCATATTTGGCGTAGGTGTTAAGGGTAGGCAGAATTATAGTAAGGCCCCCGATGGTGAAGGACGGGACCAGCACTGGTTCCTTGGCCCAGGCACCCTGAGGAAGGCAGCAGGGTTGCAAAGCACCCTGGGTATTACAGTCCCCAGGCTCCACTTCAAATCTCTTTTGAATTCTGTAAAATTGCTAGGATCCTTAACGATTACTATTGTTTTTTTCTCTTAAGCTAGTTATAGTCAGAGTCTATTTTAACAAAAATCATCTTAATAAGCATAACCATTTAGAAACTATGGATGTTTCTGTATGTCTAACGCTAGATATGAGTTAAATTTTGTTAACTCATTTAGCATTTGTCAAGCAAAGCCTAATATCCTGGGTGTTTCACATTCCAGAGACCTTGCAGTCTATCTGAGAAAAAGGGGGTAATTTCTGCTCTATTTCTCTCATCCCTCACCTTTTGGTTGTACATAAAGCAGGTCAGAAAGATGTGAAGCTGGGGATTACCACTCTCTGGAAATAAAAGAGCTTTAAGTTACCAACTCAGTGAGACTGGGAAATCTAAGGCCAGCATTTCTAACAGGAAGAACTTTGTAACTCCAGTAAAACATATACATGCCTACGAGTGCTATTTCTTCAGAACTTCCCAGGATGTGAATTCTTATCCAAAGCAGAAGGGCCTGTAGGTCAGTAAATTGGCCTGAGATCAGGAAAGAGGACCTTGAGGAACAATGTCCCAAACTGGAAATAGGAGGACCCAGAAAGAGATAGGTACTAGAAACCAGCAATAGCTAAAGGAAAAGTTTTGTGAGTGGGAGGTGAAAATAACTCGGGAAACTTGTCCTGAACTAAAAGAGACCCTTCAGATGATAGCAAAAAGATCCCAGTTGGGTAGCAAGCAGATATGTGTAAAAGAAAGGTATAACATGATCCTGAAAACTAAGGAGTGCCAGATCACGGAAGGTCCTTATGGAATACTTACCAGTTTCAAGATTGAAATGTTTAAAGCAGGAAAGTGACATGATATATTTTGTGATTTAGATATCTCTTGGCTTTTACAAGGTAAAGAGTATAAAAGGGGCAAAACTGGAAGTACAAAGACTACTTCAGTAGGCAAAGATAATGGTTGTTGGGACTAAGTGTCAAGAGTTTTGATCTGGAAAAGTAGACAGCTATTTAGACAGCATATATTGAGATAGATATATAGAAGTTATAATTCATTGAGAATATTAGAAAATTAGAATATATGAGAGATAAAGAAGAGGGATAAAAACCATTTTTTGTTTTGTTTTTAGTTTCCTGGCATAAATGACTTGGTAGATCATAGTACTATTCACTGAGTTAAAAATATATAAAGGGGGCCCTGGCAAGAGTGGCCCAGTGGACTGAGTGCCAGCCTGCAAACCAAAGGGTTGTCAGTTAGATTCCCCTTCAGAGCACATGTCTGGGTTGTGGGCCAGACCTCCAGTAGGAGATGCTCAAGAGGCAACCATACATTGATGTTTCTCTCCCTCTCTTCCT